GCTGTTCATTTTCGTCGCCAGCGCCGCTAGCGTCAGCTGGTGGCGACGTCGCCATGATGCCGCGCCCGCCCAAATCACCAACTCGCACTGATGTGCCCGCGCGTCGGCGCGGCCTGCGAGACGCTCCGGCGAATTCCCAGCGGTCAGCGCCCCCGCGGCCGCATCGGTCGCGCTGGGCTGGCTGGCCGCTCTGCGCGCGAGACTGCGCGCGCTAGCGCGGCCGTGGCGATGCGCCAGCCAGCGCCGAGCCGCCATCGCAATCGCCGCGGCGTGGGTTTTGCGAGCCATGTCGCTGGTGGGCGGGCGGGGTGCCTGCGCGAACGCGGGAAGTGTCCACGCGCGAAGAAGTCGAAGTCAATTGCGCCGCGTAGATTGCGCCTTGCATTGCACCGCCTAGATTCTCCTTTCGCAAGAGCATAGGGACCCCCTCCTCCTGGAACTAACGGCTACCACATTCGCATTGCAATTCCAATATGATTCCGCCCCATCGCCCATCCTAAGCATGAGGTCGTGCCATCCCCAGGCGGGCCGGCGTCGCCCCCCATGCGCGCGTCGAAAACCATTTGTTCGCATCCCTTGCGAACGACGGGGCGAACTGCGCGCGCGCGTCGTCGCGAGCGCGCGCGCGCCAAAATCCTTCAAAAACATTGGGTCTTGCAAGGGCTTCGAAATCGAGCGCCCCGAGAACGTGAAACACGCGTGGTTTCACAACGAGAATTGTAACGCAGCTTCCGCTCGGGCTCATGCGAATTCATTGGAACACAATCGGTTAATGCCTTCATCGTTTGCTACGCAGCGGGACACTCGCGCGCGCATGTCGGACGTTCGAACGCTCTTGCGCGCCTGCTGTCGCAAGAATCCCTTGCAATCGATGGGGCTGCGTACGCGCGCGCGTCGTCGCGCGCGCGTGCCGGAATCCCTCGCGCACCTCGCGTTTCGCATGGGTTCAAAGATCGCGTGCTCCGAAAACATAACAACCACGTGGTTTTGCAACGCCAGTTTTCGAACATGCCTGCGCTCGCGCCCCTGCGAATTCTTCAGAACACCATAAGTTGTTCAGCGTGTTCATTGAATTTGCCAACCGGGCCCCTCGCGCCGCACGTCGCAATCATTCGAACGCCCTTGCGCGCGTGCTGGGGGGGGGGGGCATCTGCGTCGAATGATAGCGCGTGGGCCACTCTCGCCCGTCGGCCGCGCGCGTGTCGAACTCCCTTCAAAACCTTCACCGCCGATGCGAGGGCGCCGTCGTCGTCGGCGTGATCAGCGTCGGCGATGTCACTGGCCCTGCCGTCGTCCCTGACATCGTGGTCGTCAACGTCGCTGCCGTCATCGTCGAGTCTACCATTGTCGTCGTTGTCATGATGCCGCGCCCGCTGGTCGGCGCCGCCGCGCCCGGGTCGGTCGCGCCGAACTAGCTGGCCGCCGCGCGCGCGAGCATGCGCGGGCAAGCGCGGCCGCGGAGATGCACCGGCTAACTCCAAGCACCCGCCGGAATCGCTGCCGCATGGGTTATGCAAGCCAAGTTGCGGGCGGGCGGCATGGGTGATTGCGCGAGCAGTTGAGTGGGCAACTCGCCCCGAACAACAACTGATTGCGCGATGTTGGTTTCGCCGCTTGCTTACCCGTCGCATGGCAATCTCGAAATCAAGATGCGGCTGCGAACGCTTTCCCGCGACCCAACCACTGGAAAAAGAAAAAAAAAGAAAACAAACAAAAAGAAAATAAAAGAAAGAACAAAAAAAAACTCGGCATCGAGCCGGGCGGCGTTTGTCTTGTCCTGCGGAGAGGTGCGCTCGAGCAGCGTTTCGGGTCGCTGGGGCGCGGGGGGGCCACGCGTCTGCGTGGCGAGACTTTTCGCCGCGCCGCGCTCCGGGCCTGGGCCGCAACGGCGGCGCGCGCTGTCCTCGCTGGTGGATTGTAGAAGTCCGGCTCGGGATGTCTGTCCCGGCGGAAGTCTGCGCGGCGCGGCCATGGGCGAGCTTTTGATATAAATCAGGCAGGCGCGCGACATGGCCGTCGATTTCGCTGAGCGGAGGCGGCTTGAGTTGGAGAGTGCAGCGCCGGATGTGTCCGTGAGGCGCATGTTCAATCTGCTGAAGCCTCTGCGTGTGCCTGCCCAGCATTCGGCCGCGGGCGCGATGGAAGCGCGCGGCAGTCTCGCTGTCAGCCCGCGAAACGGAGCGCAGTCTAGCCGAGTTGTTTTTCCTGCGAGTCTGCGGGGGCCGAAAATTGCATTTGAAAAACATGGGGCCGGCAATCTCGTTGATGCGAATATTATCGCTGGCGCGATAGTCCTCGGTCTTGCCTAGGTCAATAATTAAGGCCGGAATTACTTTTGCGCAGAATGGGGCAGATGGTCCAACATGTCCAAAACAATTTATCTTGGCAGCGCCCCTCTGTTCCACCCGCTCGCGCTGAAGTCTGATGTGTCAGCGCGGCCGTCGTTGCAGTGGAGCGCGGTGCGCGTGCGCGCGCGCGTGCGCGCGCGCGTGCGCGTGTGTGTGCGTTTGTGCGTGCGCGCGCGTGCGCGCGCGCGTGTGTGCGTGCGTGCGTGGAAACCTACAAATGTTAGCCAGCGTGGGCCCGAGCGCTGATTTCTCGCCGCGCGCGGCGCGGCGTAGTTGGCGCGATCAGCGTTGCGCAACCCACGCAGCGCAATCTATGCGATGCAAAGCAATGCAAAACTGAACGGCGCAAAAACAAACGCCGCTCAGCAACGCGACGCAAAACAAATCAAGTCCGTGCAAATCACTGCAATTCGATGCAGAGCGCTGCGAAGCAATGCAACTCGGCGCATGGCAAGGCAACGCCATGTGCAACAACGCGACGACGGGCGGCGACGAGTCGGCCAGGCCGCCGCCGGGGCCCGGCGGCGTCTGCTGCGACGGGCGGCGACGGGCCAGCTGGGCGGCCGCAGGGGCACAGATACCAAGAAACAAGAGTAAGCGCCCCTGGGTGCGAGCACTGTTTGAAGAAAAAATGCAAGGGCGCAATGGCGAATATCCAATCTTGCAGGGGCGCGGCCACCTGCGAGGCTGCGTTGAAATCGTTCCCTCCGCGCGCGGTATCCCTGGATGCCCGCCCTTGCCGCGATCCGTTCTGCCCTGCAGTTTGGCGGCGGGCTCCTCGGGGGCCCCGCGGAGTTTGCTAGTTTTTTCGCGCGCTGGCGGGCGTGGGCTTCGCTGGCGCTAGGAAGGCCCCCTTTGGCGCTTCGTTCGTTGACTTGCAGACTGACTTTGCCAGCGAAGCGAGCGTTGTAGCTCCTCCCGCAGAAAAAAAAAAAAAAAAGAATAAACAAGAAGGAAGAAAAAAAAAAAAACCACAAAAAAAACAGAGAAAAAAAAAAAAAAAAGAAAGACAAAAAAAAAAGACTAACATAAGGACAGGGAAAAGACGCGAATAAAAAAGGAAACTTAAAAAATAAAGCTCCTCCCGCGCCGCCGGTGCCGATGGGCGCATCTGTTGCGCGACTGTTGGCCAAATTCAGCTCCGAGAGCGTCGCGGGAATTGCCGGCGGCCCCTGCGCCTGCAACCGCTGGGCCGCGAGCGGAGGCGCGACGCGTTCACTCGTGATGCCGGGCAAGGGGCGCAGATGTTCCTGGTCTGCCGTGGAAGACGCCGCAGGCTGTGCTCGCGCCGCGTCGGGGGATCCTGCAGGCAATGCAGTTGGGGACTTTGGTTTCCTCCTTCCCTCGGCCGCGTGGCCGGCGCATTGGAATTGCACCTCGCAGCTGCAAGATTGCTCTTCGAACTCCTCGCCGGGCCGTTGATCGCCAATTCTGGCGTTGTGGTGGAGGGCGGGCGGCGCCTGGAGTCGCAGTTGCCCGGTCGGGCGCGCGCGACGATTGCCGCAGTGCGCAAGTGCATGATCATGTTCGAAGACGTTTTCTCCAGGTGCGGATTCATCATTCCAACAGGGGTAGGACAGAGGCGCTGTTTAGAATCGCGGGCCATGGGGCGCTTGAAACGCAGCGGTAGCTTTTCGCTGACCGCGGGGGCGTCATTCCCTTTGGCGCTCGCGGTGTGCAGCGCCAACTGGTTGCTGCGACCTCGTCCAAACGCGCTGGTGCGCTCTCCTGTGCCGCGGGTGCCGCGCGCCCAGAGATCACGGCCAATATCGGTGCTCTGAGGAATGTCTTCGAACAGCTGCGCCACGCCGTGCTGCAGCGGAGCTATGTCCCCGTTGAAGCACGGCTTGCGTTGTGCCAGGCGGTGGTGTCTTCGGGTGGGCTAGGCGAGGCCATGCCTCAGTTGCAATCTGCGGAGCTGATGAACATCCACGCGGCTGCGTTGCAAGTGTACTCATTCGTGTTTGGAGACGATTCGCGCGACCGTCGATGCCCGCCTCGCGACTCCATTGCTGATCGCGAGTGCTTTGTTGCACCTGCAATCATGATCGTGTGCATGTGCGTTGGGCCTTGCAGGGGATGTGCTTGCATGCCCCGCGCACGTTCTGCGTTGTCTCACGCACTTGCGGTCCGAATCTCTTGGACGCACGGGAATTCTGTAGGTATGAATATGTAAACTCCACGTGCCCGCGCGCTATGTGAATACGCAACCCTTTCAAAAAGATAGCGGGTTCCAGTGATCCGTGCCAACCCGCAATGCTTCAGGGCTGGAGTGAGAGATGCCTGGAATGAGCGTGGGTTCAAAAGAGGAGGAGGAGGAGGAGGAGGAGGAGGAGGAGGAGGAGGAGGAGGAGGAGGAGGAGGAGAAGGAGGAAGAGGAGGAGGAAGGAGGAGGAGAAGGAGGGGAGAGGAGGAGGTAGATATACGGTGGCCGCGCCGCGAGGAAAATGAGAAAATAAAAGAGGATTGAGGACGAGGAGAGTAAAAGAACAAAACAAAAAAAATGAAAAACCAAAAGGGGAGGAGGAGGAGGAGAAGGAGTGGCAAGCGTTGAAGATGGCGTTTGAGGTGGACACGCGCGCGCCACTGCCATCCCGAGAGGGCGTGAACGCGCGCAGGCTCTACCACTCCCTCACAAGGATGGGGTGCAGCCTCCGCGCCGGCACGCCCTGGAGGCAGCCCGCCCATCTCTGCGAGGAACCGCATGCGCTGCCTGTCGCCCCTGCTTTCCCGTGGCCAGCTTCTTCGAGGCGCCAGGCAGCACAGGCGCCTCTGCCTGGAACCTCCCGCCTCCAGACGAGCTGCATAGTCCGCAAGGTGGCCCCTCCACGTAACCACACCTGGCCGCGCGGGTGCTCGCCGGCGGCCGCGCGAGCGCGACGGACGTGCTCGCCGAGGCGGGGGGGCGGACGGGCAGGAGCCAGAAGAGGAGCGGGGGGGAAGCAGAAGAGGAACGGGGGAGAGGGGGAGTCGGGAATGGCGAGGGGGCCTTTTGCTCCACATCCACCGCCACCTCCTCCTCCTCCTCCTGCCCCTCTTCTTCCTCAAAGAAAGAGGAGGCGGAGGCGGAGGCGGAGGAGGCGGAGGAGGCGGAGGAGGAGGAGGAGGAGGAGGAGGAGGAGGAGGAGGAGGAAGGAGGAGGAGGCGGAGAGGAGGAGGAGGAGGAGGAGGAGGAGGAGGAGCAGGAGAAAGGTGTTTTTTTCGCTCCTCTTGGAGGGCTCAACCAGCAGGCCGCAGCACAGGGTGCGTCCGGGGGGCGGCGAGCCCGCGCATCTCTTATTAAAACTCTGTACACTCGCCTCTGCCCCCCTCCCCCGCCCTGGAAGGAAAATCCGGCCGGCGCGCATGGAGGTGGCAGGGCACCGAGGACCTGACGCATTCGACCATGGACTCTTGCTACAGCATTGGTTACCCACTAACCCTGGGCGGTCTTCGGTGGTCTTCTGGCGCTCTTCGGCGGTACTCTGACGGTCTTCGGCGATTCCTGGCGGTCTCCAACGGTCCTCGGCGCGAAAGCAGGATGCTTGCGTTCAGCAGAGGTCCATGATCGAACAACTATCGGCTCCACGCATGAGCGACCCCAGGCAAGAATGACCTTCGGTGCGCCGCTTCTGGTGAGCCGCGGGGGGGGCTGCACCTGAGCGCGCAAGACGCAACTATCGCACCGCATTCGGCGATCGGGGGACCCCATTGGGCCCGCCAGGTCACTCTGGCGAAAGGTCACTCTTGCGTCTAGCCGAAGCTGCGTAGGGGATCCAGGAGGTGTCTGGTGGACGTCCCCGATTCTGTCCGGAGCCTCTGGGGGCGCCTCCTCGTCGTGGCCACGGCTGGGCGCAACTCGAAAACACCTGGCCAGGGTTGGCCCCAGGAGAGGGGGGCCCGGATACGGTGTCGTGACGGCTTGCGCGGTGGCTTCTGACATTGCGTGCTTCGACAGCGAGCGAGGGGGGGAAGTGAGAAGGAGAAGGCCCTCCCAGAAGGCGGCGGGGCTCCTCAGGAGCCCTCGCGCCTTCTTTCCGAGAGGCTCCCTGCGTCTTCGGGGGAGGCTCGGGACACTCCTCGGAAGGCCGGGGGACTTCCGAGCCTTCTGAGAAGGCCCGCCCCTTCTCACCTCCCCCCTCGGGGGGGCACAGAGGTGGGGCAGGGGCTTGAGGTGGGGCTGGAGGGACAACGACCGGGCGGCCCCCGGAGGAGAGAGCTGCGCCAAGCGGGAGCATCTGGCCGGGCCCGCTCTCCAGCCCCACCCTGGGAGAGCCCTCCCTCTACGAACCCGCGGCCCCCCTCGTTCGCCGCCGAGCTGCGGATCGTTCAACCCCGAAGGTTCCCGGCTTTCGATCGCGCACGATCTTCCGAGATCGGCCGATCCCTGGCCACTGGCGGCGCTCAACCTTGAAGCGCCCACGCTGTGGTCGCCACCGCGCGGACACGACACCGAACCGGTCGCCCTCGTTCTGAGCATCCTTCGGGCGGGGGTGGCGCGAGGGCGCGAGGGAGTCGGCCTTCGGAGCAGGCAAGAGAGCACGCTTACACCCAGTGCGACCACCCTTCGGTGGTGAGGAGGCTCGGGGAGGAGGAGCCAACGTCTCGCTCAAGCGATTTCAGTGTCGATCTGACTGTCGATCTCACTATCAATCCTAAGATCGATTTCGCTATCGATCTTACCATCGATCTCACTATCGGTCTCGCTTCGCTATCGACATTATTATCAGTCCTGCGATCGATTATCGATCTCACTATCGAACTCATTACGGGATAGCGACGGGACAGCACGGCGGGACAACTCAGCCACCGCCAGCCCACCAGCTGAGGTTCGGACAATTGTCTTGCCCCGCCGCAGCAGCAGCGCTGTCATTATCCTCGCCCGCCCACTCAGCTTCGTCTCGCCCGCACGCACGACAGGAACCCGAAACCGAAACCGATTTCCAGGTGGGATGCCCTCCGTTCCACTTCGATCTCACCTCCCAACCTTCGACTTTTCGCGATAGCGGCCGTTACTGGCCCTGGCCGCCCCCCTCCCCACAAGTCACGTCACGATTCGTGCTGACCTCCGCGCTGGCTCTGGTCATTCCTAGAAGCATTCCCGGGCGGCGCCGGCGAAGAAAGTGACGCTGGCGGCCCCGCCGACCCCCCGCCGCCCCCCCCCTGCGGTAGCGCCCGTTATCGCCCGAGAGTAAAACATCGCTCTCCAAAGGGGCTTCTCAGAACCCCTCCCGCCTTCTGAGGTCTCCGACCCCTATTGGAGGCCCCCCCGCCTTCCTCAGAGGGCGGCCCCCGCCTCCCACCGTCCCCTGTGCGCGCCGCCGGAGCAAAAAAGACAGGCGACGGTGGTGTCGTAAGGGGGCAGGGCGAGGAAAAAAAGAGGAGGCGCACGCTTCCGTACATGCAGTAGTGGCTGTATCTGCTCCTCCTCCTCCTCCTCATCATCGTGGTCTTCGTCGTCGTCGTCCTCCTCCTCCTCCTCCTCGCCATCCTCCTCCCCATCATCCTCGACCTCCTCCTCCTCCTCCTCCTCACTGTGTACCCCCGTTTTCTCCTCCTCCTCCTTGCTCTCCTCCCCCTCCTCCTTCTACTCTTCCACTTCCTCCTCTTCCTCCTCCTGCCCCTCCCCGTTCCACCCCTTGCCACTGCCCCTCTTCCTCCTTTCCTTCCGTTGGTGTCCGATTCCTGTCCGTTGGTGCCCGTCTCCTGTTTTTTTGCCACGAGCAAACTTTGTACAAAACGTTGGTCGAGGCCGTCGACCCCTACGTAGCGAACGTTGCGCATCTCATCGCCGTGGCGCTCCAGCTGGAAGGTTCGGGGTGTTTGGACACGTCTGAGGTTGGTTCATGGGCGCGCAATGTTGGAGCAACGACTGGGCTCAGACCAATGACATCTTTTGCTTTCACATACACTGAACTTACAACATCACAGGGTACACCGTGACGGAGGTTCTGAGAGAAGCCCAAAGCCGTTCGGGCGGACGCGCTCGCATGCTCAGTGTTTACCCCATCTGTTGTGTACCAAAGGATGCACACAGCTGAGAACCCCATTGCACGGCAGTTAGTCGAGGCCCAGCTGGCTGCGCGAGGGATGCGGTGGACGCCGGTGCAACTCGCCTTGTCCAGCATTGCCTCCGCTGTGCCGGGCGAGCATCGGATGGCGCTCGTGCGAAGGATGTTAAATGGCGAAATGATATCGCACCGCATGGCACCCGTGTCAGGCAGGGACGTGTTACCATACCCTCTCTGCTATTCGCCTGACAGCGATAGCGTTGCGCATCGTGACACATGGGCTGTCGTGCAATCCCTGCGCAACAACTTGTCTCCCGAGCACGCTCGGTTGACAGCCCCGCAGATGTGGTTCCAGGTGCAACTAGGTGGCGGCTCGGAAATCCGGCAGGTGTTGGCGTTCACTAGTGCCATAGCACGGCTGCGTCGGTTACTCGTGCAGGGCCACTATTTCTCTCCAGATGAGATGCTTCGCCACGTGCGGCGCCTCAGTGATGGTCCATGGTTGACTGGTAGCCCCCATGAGCTCACGCGGTCAGAGGCGCGGGGCGAGAGCGAGGGTCGCGCCCACTTTTGGCACAGGGGTGGGTGGTGCATGCCTCCGACGGGGCCGCCCGCCGTCAAGGGGCCGCAAGGCCGCGCCGTCATCGAGGTACGAATTGACAACGTGTGCCGTGAGTTTCACTCAGATGCGGATTCGGTGTGCAACTCCGTCTTAGATAGAGGTGAAGCCAGCGTGCCGCCAGACGCGACGGGACGTCACGTGAGCGTGAACTGGACGTCGTTCAGACACTCCAGGTCGGCAGGTTGACGCCTGGGCGGCATATTGTTCGTGCTTTCCCCTCTCCCCCTCCCTCCCTCCCTCTTGGGTCCGTCCCTGGGCCCCCCGGAGTTCTCCGCCCCCCCTGCCCACTCTGTAGACATCGTCCACGCACTGTAACATGGAGCGGGCATGGTTCCCGTGTTTCCTCCCTCGCCTCCCTAACCCATGCCGCCAGCGTGGGCCAGCACCGTTGCACCTTGACATAAGCATCAAAGTTGTCCTCATCCGATTCGATCGGTGTATATATCCTTTTCCAAACCGCCTCTCGGCTAGCAACCATCATCTCTGGATAACCCAATGCATGTCCACACTGCCTCCAAGAGGTATTCCGTGACATGCGCATCTTGCCGTTGCAATGCCTCTTCGCGCTGGAAGCTGGACAAAAAAAACGTCTTTCTCCTTCTCCCCTGCCTCATCCGCCACCGTGCCTCCTTGCACGGTGAGGCGTGGAAGAATGCCAAGTGCTGTCTGGCAGTGCTTCTGTAATTTTGTCACGGGCCCACCCACCCCTCTCGTCGCTCCCCCTCGCGTGCACCACTCCTACTCCTGGTCCCTGGGCGGCCATGGCGGTATCCCTGGGGGCCACGAATGCTGCCAACACGGTCGAGTAAGGCTATCAAAGCCGCCAAGACGGTCGAAAATGTTCCTGAAACGACCTGAATTGGCACCGTTACCCAAGACGGCCAAATAGTACCTCATGACGGCCCACAACTGCCTCAAGACCGCTCAAAAGAGGCCACAAGATGGCTCAGAGTGATCCCAGAGGAGCCTCAAGAGAGCCCGACGATGTAAACACCAAAAGATAGCCTTAGACTTTTCATTGTCTCTTGGCTTATCACGCTTCCGTGTTTCCGTCAGATCAAAGTGGCCCAGGAGGCCTTCAAGATCGCCTCCAGAATGCCCATGAGAGCTCCATCATGAATTCACAACCGTCCAAGACGGCCTCAAGAAGGCCCAAGAGGGCGCAAATGCGGATCTGGAACATCTTGGGTGAGTTTGGCGTCCTTCTGGGGGTCACGAAGGCTGCCAA